CTCTAGTTTCTAACTTTGCAGCTTATTAGTCTATTGGCCAAGCGAAAAAAGAACAAATAACCAAAAATATTTCCTGCTTAACACTCTTGTAAACTTGGAGCACGAAACAAACATAAATGAAATCATGGTTATGAAAACTTCCTAACAGGAAAAGTGAAACAACCACACAATCAATCCTAGATAGTAAGATAAACTCGAAACAAATCGCTCTGTTGATTTCAGTTCATATATATGGCATAGAAAAATCACATAGGAATAAAAGCTGTTCAAACTCTAACCTGTCCTCGGCCAACTGCGCAAACCTCTTGGGTGGTACAAATAGATCCAGACCCCATACCAACTCTCAGTCCATCTACACCAGCCTGAATCAAATTCTGTGCCTGGTACATGGTGACCACATTCCCACCAATCACATCCAGCTGGGGATATGTTCTTTTCACGTACTTGATCATATCAATCTGGTAAATGGAATTCCCCTGCGAGCTATCCAAAACCACCACATCAACACCTGCCTTCACCAAGTGCTCCAACCTCTCCTTGTCTGATTCCCTTGTTCCAATGGCTGCTCCCACCATCCACTGCCCGTCTGGTCCAACCGTTCCCTGTCCCAGTTTTGGATACCCTTTGAACCTCTCCACATCTTCCTCAGTCACTACATTCACTGCCTCACCATCCCTCTCCACCACCACAAAACCCTTCTTCTTATTCTCCAAAGCAGCCTCAATAATGTCCAAATCACAAGCCCACGAGACATAGTAATCCCTGCTCTCACAGTCACGCATATAATCAAAAATCTTCATCTCTTTCTCTTTGCTATTCATAGACAACCAATCCGATTTGGACACATACCCCAAAAGCTTTGGGCCCAAGCATCCTGATTTAACGACATAAAATTGCACAATATTAGACATCAAAATGAACCCATCAATGAATTTTACCACATATAAAGACTGTAAAACGTGGAAATGATTATTGGAGTCGGACCTGTTTGAGAGACGAAAACGACGGAAGAGGATTCGAAATCATTTATGGACGCAATCTGGTGGTCTGGAAACTTGAAGATCGCAGTAGAGGCCAGTGGGAAACGGAGCGACTTGGCGGAGCGGAGGATAGAGGCCTGGAGAGAAGGTTCGCAGTTGGAGTGGATAAAGGCGATGCCACCAAGCGCGGCCATGGCGGCAGCCATGTGGGACTCGGAGACGGTGTCCATCGGGGAGGCGACGCAGGGGATAGAAAGAGAAATGTTGCGAGTGAGACGGGTGGCGAGGGAGACAGAATCAGTGGGGAAGTCGATGTAGTGTGGAAGGAAGATGACGTCGTCATAAGTATAGGAGTAACCTTGGGCGAAGAGTCTATCAGCTGGGAAACCGTCGTCAATCTCTGCGCCTGCCATTGTTAACGCTGATGGAACTTCAAAGAAAGAGAGTAAGAGGAGGTTTATGGAGTTTAGGGTTTCCTGGTGGGGAGGAATCAAATATGGAGGGAAATAGTTGGACGGATATGATTTATTTATTATTATTAGTGGGTTGGTATGGAAATATTTTATAGTTTAGGGAGTAATTATTTACAATTTTTGGAACTTAATGTGGGTCCCTTGAAAATTTTGAGTATTATTATTATAATGTAAGTTCAAAACATGCATTATAATAATATTCTCACAATCTTGGAATAGAGAAATGGAATTGAATATAATGCATAGAGAGAAATGGTACATTTTCCTAGACATAAAGAGAAAATTTTATTTAATATCCATTGAGAATTCAAGAATATTAAAGTATTAGCAACATTTTGAAGTAATACTTTGTATTTATTTAAATTTATATAACTTATGACCATAATCTCCTTTAAAATAAATTAATATATGAAAAGATGTATTGTCGCAATTGATGTAACACATATTCTAATCATCAGGGAAGCAATCTCGTACATCGAAAGAAAAAATGTTTTAATACAAAATATAATCTCATAAGTGTAAGTTTTATATGCTGTTAACTTATATTATGGCTGAAAGCTTTTCGATTTGAGTATATATATGTGTGTGTAAATCGAAACCTAAACTTTTTTGAAAAAAAAAGGAGGCACGACAGACAAGTTTTAATCCATAAATCATATAAATTCAAATAAATATTATAATTTTGAACCAGCCTTAAATCTAGTATGTACATGTGGAAAATATATACAATTTTTTTTGAAAAAATAAGAAGAGGGAAAAAAGATGGTTAGGATGAGGTAAAACAAGTGGGTTTACCCCATAAATCATATAAATCCGAATAAATATTATATTTTTGAACCCGCTCCAAATTCAAGTCGGGTTTAGATTTATATATTATAATTATGGATTGGGGTTTAAGTCTCACGAAACGCATACCAAATTATATAATGTTCTGACCTGTTTTAGAGTCTTGAACATACACTCACAGCTCCCAAATCAGTAAGACCAATGAATATATCATAATTAAGCGCAACTAATTAAGATAAAAATTACATCCCCTGCATATTTAATCCCAATCTGTAACATCTATGAGACTTATCTACATTTCAAAATAAGTAGTAACAGTAAAAAGAAATGATTAACCTTAATTTTTGTCTAAATAAAATAGAAAGTCTCTTAGTGAGTCTCTTATTGTTCGAGAGTAGGATCTTGAACATCTTGATTTGAAAAGCTGAAATGGTAATTTGAGTGAGCACATACTTGCTCAATAAGGTTACAAGAACCAAATATCGTAATTGTTCGTCCAAAGCATTATAAAAAATAATAAAGCATCAGATGGATTATTTATTTTAACAAAATCAGTTTTGATTTAGGAACATGTTTAATTTCTTCACTTCACATCAAAATTAAATCAGATTCACATTCAACTTCTTCGTTTCATTCACAAATACTACCAAACCACATCAAGTTCATATTCAGAAAATTTTTATTTTAATAGTAAATACTATTCGATTATATTATATTCGTATCCAAGTATAATACACATATCAAATCAATCACATTTCTTTTCGTTTAAGAATTAAAATTAGTTACTTTCATCTTTCATTGCACGATACTCTTCTTACTAGTATCATAATGGTCCATAGGGATACTTGCTCATGTGGATACTTGAAATATTTTCATAACAATCATCAGCGATCTTCGTACCTCAATTTATATGAATACCATAAATATTGGTCGTCCTCACCCCTCAACCTAGTGAATGCCATAAATATCGGCTGTCCCTGTACCTCAACCTATATAGGTACCATAAATATTGGTCGTCTTCACCCCTCAATCTAGACGAGCACCATAAATACTCGTAGTATCCACAGTAGGGTTTACCACACATAATCATCAATATACAATTTCACCTTCACCAACTCGCATACATTTGTGTTATCATATTCTTTTATTTAAAATGCTCTATTTGCACACACACTTTTCATATAGTTCATACATACCACATATATATGACAATTCCATATATTCAACCAGTTATGTTTACACTTACACACATACGTATACACATGCACACAGATTGCACGCTTACAATTATACCCAACAAACATTCTCATGCGTAAATGAACTCCTAGTCACTTCTTTATCTTTTATAGTTTTCATGTGTTATTATCTATATATATATATTCATAGCATAACACGCACTCTTTAGGTATACATACAAACTGATGCACGCACTCACAATAGATATATACATGTACCCATACATCATGAACACACAATCACGACAATACATATACACATATCTGACACATGCACACACCCCATTCACACAAACAGCCATGAATAGCCTTTTCCCCACATCAACCTGTAACGGTATATCAACCCATAATGACATACTAGATATCAACTAACGAAAACAAACATACATAATCAATTCTATACCAAGAATACACAAAATCGATTTAAACATCATCGATACACCTTAAATGAGATTTTATCCAAAACCACAATCAATCCAAGTTATTTAAAGGCTAAATTTCAATCAAATGATTACAAGTAGGGTTTGGGTATCTTTACCGGAGTCAGAAGCTGATCGCATTGTCTCAAGCAGCTGCTGATCGCGGTGTTCGTGCCTCTGCCTTTCGGGTTTAGGTTTCCCTAGCTAATCTACAGTAAGGTAATTACAAATAATAAAAAAAGGAAAAAATAGAGAAAAATGGAGAAAATTACGCTCATCAGTGTCGATATAGACTTTCGGCATGACAGTGTTGCTGTCGCTCTGCCGTCTGCAATTGACTCCGGCATCTCCCTATCAACGCGCATCCCCGGTCGTTAGATTGATGTGTGTATTCGAATTGAGGCTGTCCAATCTCAGGCATGTAAATTGCCTTCATGGGATCCCATGTCAGACTCCTTGCTAGCGTGGCCACCACAAGATGGGTCTGATTGCCCGTGTTACCACGTGGGTTATCCGACGTGGTCCACTTTTCTGAAATTGTAGAACGATCTTTGGTCACTTAAAATTTTTTTAAATGAGTTATTTTAATTTGAAAAAAGCCTTGACGTTGGAATTTCTTTTCAAAGAAGCCATAACTTAATAATTTTAATTATATTTGCATATCTTGGTGAAATTTTGTAATTTCTAATTTAATTAATTCAAACATTTAAAATTATGCGACTTTTAAGAAGAAATTTTTTCTCTTTTTAACTCACAAAATTCGGGTTATTACCATTTACAATTCTTAACATTTATGAATCACAATATGCAGTCCACGTGTGACCCAATTTTATGATACATCGTGTAATTTTTAACCTGAATTAACATATTTATACCCACTTATTTTTAAACAAACTATCACTTGCAGACTATGACAACAATGTTAAATATAAAAATTAAATTCAGAAATATGATTCTCCTAGTCAGAAAGCAATTCAGGAGTCATACACCAAACAGAGGGCAATATTTATATATCTGCCAGTATGTATAAAAATTGAAAGACTAGATAATAATTGAAAAACTTAAAAGCGATTAACAGGTAAGAGTACGAGCAACTATCATACTCTTTCATCTCTTTTGGATAAAGCTGGGCCAACAAATGTCTGAGGTAGCTTGGCAAAGTTGTTAGTAACCATAATTATGATTCTTGGACGGTGAATAATTTATTTCCATGGGTAAACTACCCGATATGAAATAAATAATTTGAAGAAGAAGAAAAACCAAAAAACTCGTTTGGCGGTGAAGAGGTGTGGATTTTACATTCAAAAGCTCTAATATCTTTGCCATTAGTAACTGCTCTTCTACTCTCACCATCAACATATTAGCTTGTCAGCAATTATATGTGTTTCATCTTTAACCCCGCTGTGTACGTGGAGATGATATATATGTGTGTGTTTCATAGAGCTACATTGAAGGCAAAGCTGAGGGATAAATAATGACCCATTTCTTGCTCACGATCATTAAGATAATACATAATTCTTCTTGAATTTCTCCCGATTGCCTTCTAGACTTTGTACCAAGAGAGAGTTCCAAATCAACATGATCATTATCATCAAGGTCATCGCCAACTTTCCATTTTTCTGTTCTTATAATCTCTTCAGTGTCAGACGAGTTGGCCATAGAGATTGGTGTAATAGCTAATGTTAGAGTTTTGCCCAAGCCATCCATGCTACTTAGTTGACCTTCATGGAGGTATTGCATTGACCTTTTTTTGCTTTCTTCACCACTTTCTTTGACAACCTCATCATTAGCCCCGAACTCACTGCCAATTCAAAGAGCAGTCGGATGATTTGCTGTGGGTATGATAAACAAACATATATAGGATTGTAATAATCATAAGGTCATTACTACATACATACATATTCTCAATATATATATTTATAAATGTACATTAATCAGTGTCAATTAGCATAAAATATGATAAAAAATGAAAATAATAATTTACGAAAAATATTTTATTTTTGTTAGTGATTAATTATCCATTCTAAGTGTTTTGACTAACGTAAATAATATATATTTATAATGACATAAGATAATAATAATAAAAAAAAATTATATATATATAACTAATTTATAAAATACGATAATTTGTTATTAATTTAATATTGATTATAATATAATACTTTAAATTTAGAGAGGAAAAATATAATTTATTTTATTTTATTTTTTTTTTGTTTTTAGTAGTATGGTAGTTTTAATAACAGAAATTTTAATATTGATTTATTTGGTAGTATTTATTGCAATAAACTTTAAATAATTAGAGTAACATTTTTTTGCTAACCCTTATGGCATATAATTGAATCAAATTAAATATATACCTTTCACAAACTTTCCTTTAGAACAGATTGTTGGCCAATGTAAAATTGATCTTCACCTTGCTCCCGCGTTTTAGCTTTTTTAGTCTCGATACACAAATTTTCAAAGGAAAATAATTTCAGAATAGGGCACTAACTATACATATAAATAATTATCCTAACATATCTTATCTAGATCTCTTTCAAGTGAAAAACAAAAGCATTACCTGCAAATGACTGTTAAGATTAGCAATATTAAGTCCCGGGAT